TAAGAACAGGTTGACAACTTACCTGGGTTCTGTTGGGATATAGGGTATAGGAGCAGTGGTGTGTGTTAAGGGTGAAGTGTGTGAGTGCGGCAGTGTATGTCAGGGTTGTAGTGTGTGTGTTAGGGGGCAGTGTATGTATGGGGGCACTGTATGTGTTTTTGGGGCAGTGTGCGTATGGGGGACAGTGTGTGTATGGGGACAGTGTTTGTGGGGCAGTGTGTGTGTATGGGGACAGTGTTTGTGGGACAGTGTGTGTATGGGGGCAGTGTTTACGTGGGGCAGTGTGTGTATGGGGGCAGTGTGTGTATGGGGGCAGTGTTTGTGGGGCAGTGTGTGTGTGTGGGGGCAGTGTATGGGGACGGATGTTTGTGGGGCAGTGTGTGTATGGGGACAGTGTTTGTGGGGCAGTGTGTGTATGGGGGCAGTGTGTGTGTGTGTATGGGGGCAGTGTGTGTGTATGGGGGCAGTGTTTGTGGGGCGTGTGTGTATGGGGGGCAGTGTTTGTGGGGCAGTGTGTGTGTGTGGAGGGCAGTGTGTGTATAGGGACAGTGTTTGTGGGGCAGTGTGTGTATAGGGGCAGTGTTTGTGGGGCAGTGTGTGTATGGGGACAGTGTGTGTATGGGGACAGTGTTTGTGGGGCAGTGTGTGTGTGTGGGGGCAGTGTATGTATGGGGGCAGTGTGTGTATGGGGACAGTGTTTGTGGGGCAGTGTGTGTATAGGGGACAGTGTGTGTGTATAGGGACAGTGTGTGTATAGGACAGTGTTTGTGGGGCAGTGTGTGTATGGGGGCAGGAGGAGGTGTGTGTATGGGGACAGTGTTTGTGGGGCAGTGTGTGTATGGGGACAGGGTGTGTGTATGGGGACAGTGTTTGTGGGGAACAGTGTGTGTATGGGGACAGTGTGTGTGTATGGGGGACAGTGTTTGTGGGGCAGTGTGTGTGTGTGTGTGGGGCAGTGTATGTATGGGGACAGTGTTTGTGGGGCAGTGTGTGTATGGGGGACAGTGTGTGTATGGGGACAGTGTTTGTGGGGCAGTGTTTGTGGGGCAGTGTATGTATGGGGGGCAGTGTGTGTATGGGGACAGTGTGTGTGTAATGGGGGACAGTGTGTGTAATGGGGGCAGTGTGTGTGTAATGGGGGGGCACTGTGTGTAATGGGGGGGGAGGAGGCTTTTAAATAATAATAAAAAAAAATTATTTAATTAAAATAAATATTCTATGTCCCCCCACCCTTCTTACCTTTATTTAGGAGGAGGGGGGACATTTCCCTGGTGGTCCGGTGGTTACAGTGAACTCTAGCCAGCGCTTCCGGGCTAGAGTTCACTCTCGCGAGATTTGGAGCGTTGCCGTGGTAACCGCGGCAACGCTCCAAATCTCGAGAGAGGAGGACCCGGAGGAGCTGCAGACTGAGCTCCGGGTCCTCCCTCTCACTCCCTCCCTCCACCGCCGGCTGCCAGCACGGTGCCTGCGGACCGGGGAGGGAGAGATCTGCTCTTCCTCCCCGGTCCGCAGGCACATTGCAGGGCTGGCACTTGGGCAATGCCAGCCCTACGTTAGCCGGCAGGGGGGAATCTCGGGGGGGGCAATTGCCCCGTTGCCCCCCCCCCTTGGATCCGCCAATGGCTTGATCAGATTACAAGGGGGGTTTAAAAGGCTATGTGTGTTTCACGAGCTATCCATGGAACCATGCAAAACCATGGAAGCCATGCAATAGATTATAACCCACCACCCGATAGCACCGACGCAAAACAATAATATTAACTTTAGCTGTTTATTAATCCAGAATGGAACCCCCACCTGACTTGAGCCTTCCTAACCTAAGCAGTACTTAGGCTAAGAATAGTAGAAGGTATTGGTTGGATTTTCTATTTTTCTTATATTTCGCTATCTCTTACATAGACACCTCCTACATGCTCATAACAGGTTTAGGTCCCCGACTTATTTAAAACAGGCTTTATCAAACCTGGCCTCTCATAAATATAATGTACCTATATTTAAAGGATCACTAAAATAAAAGATTAAAACTCACCTTATTTCCAGTGCCGTGCATGTCTGGCCAATCAGGACCTCCTCATAGAGATACATTGAATCAATGCATCTCTATGAGAAAAATTCAGCGTCTCCATGCAGAGAGTGGGGATGCTGAACGGCAGGGCTGCTTACTGCGCAGACCTGAGCAAGGAAGCCCCTCCAGTGGCCATCTAAGGAGTGGCCACTTGGAGGTGTCCATAGGGGCAATGTAAACACTGCCTTTTCAGAGAAAATGCCTGAAGGGAACTATTATACTCACCAGAACAACTACATTAAGCTGTAGTTGTTCTGGTGACCATAGTGTCCATTTAAACTTATTTGCCTGTTACAAGAAAAAAGTACAATGTCTGTATATTATGGATAAAACTACAATGTTAACCCCTCTATGTATGTCTGTCAAAGTATTGATTGTGCAACTATCTTAAGGGACCACTATAGTGCCAGGAAAACACTTGTTTTCCTGACACTATAGTGCCCTGAGGGTGCCCCCACCCTCAGGGCCCCCCTCCCGCCAGGCTCTAGGGAGTGGAAGGGGTTAAATTTACCTCTTTCTCCAGCGCCGGGCGGGGGACTCTTCTCCTCCTCTCCTCCTCCTCGTCAGAATGCGCATGCGCGGCATGAGCCGCGCGCACATTCAGCCAGTCCACAGGAAAGCATTCTCAATGCTTTCCTATGGACGCTGGCGTCTTCTCACTGTGAAAATCACAGTGAGAAGCGCGGAAGCGCCTATAGTGGCTGTCAATGAGACAGCCACTAGAGGCTGGATTAACCCTATTATAGAAAAAAGGGTTAAGCCTAGCTGGACCTGGCACCCAGACCACTTCAATAAGCTGAAGTGGTCCGTGTGCCTATAGTGGTCCTTTAAATCTTGTACCTCTTAAACGTATAGTTGAAAATAAAGAATTGTAAAAAAAAAAAAAAAAAGGCTATGTGTGGATGACTAAGTAAAATATTGTCTGTAACCATTACATTGTTATACTCACTCCATTTTTTGTTTACTTTGTGTTTCAAATAAAATGCTCCAAACACTGAAATTCATTTTGTTTATTAATTTAAAACTTTTTTTTAATAAATAGGCATTAATAAACATATAACACTCTACATTGGTTGAGTACCAATACATATACAAATAGCCTTACAAGTAAGAACCAGGTATGTTTTAGAAATAGGAAAAAGATCAACTTTACCATCGTTGGGTCACACAAGATCTAAGCTGATATTTAAGAATCGCCCGATTATAATTCAAAGTTGGGATAGTGGAGTTTGGAGACTGTGAAATGATGAAAATGCGTTTTATAAAAATAATTATTTAATTAGCAAACTCCACTATCCCATTTTATTCCACCGGTGCTATGTAGCTATATTTCAATCCCGTAAGGACCACTGACTTGCTATGCAAAGCGATTTGAGGAGCTAATATTTAAGGTATCCAGAGCTATCTCCTTAAAGGTGTATGTAATCTTTATAATTAATGGAACAGAGCAAGGAAACGCATATCAAATAAACAAGGTGTATTTCTATATATGCATGTGTATGTTATTTTGAGGCTGGCCACGAGCAGGAAATTCTACTTGCAGCATAGAGTCTTAACCCTTTGAGTATGAATGCACAACGCATAGTTAAATATAGCTCTCTAACACAAAACTAGCTATGGAGAGCAGCATGATGGGTTACTGTGGTCTAGCAAGATTTTAGCATTGAACTACAAAGGAACATCCTGCACCTCTGCAGTAAATCGGACTTTGACCAGACAATTTTTACCCGAAATAGAGTTAGTGGGAACTACTACACTCCAAAAATAAAGAATATATGTGTGTACACTTTAAAGGTCAATTTGATGAGTTCTATTTATTCCTCTTTAAACATACCACTTTATATAAAGCATTCATAACATCCATAACATTTATATTTTAATATGGAAAATTCCATATTTCTTAGATGCTTTAGAACCTCTTGTTAAGAAGTTGACATTTAGTGCCGTGCAAACTTTTCCCAATATAAAATTTTAGGAAATCATTAACAAGTATTCTATTTATCTCATAGCTTGCAATTGTTTCTTAATGCAGTCATACCCATAATTGGTTGAATTTATTCTCAATTATATTGCTAAAGCAAATATGAAACCTCCTGTCTTGCCATAAAATTGGAGAAACATGGTCTGATCACTACAAATCACCAAATAATCTACCTACAATCCATCTGACCTGTTTGATAGACCTACCTCCGCTATCTGTAAGGCGTAGTGCAGGGGTAGTTACATACATAAGTGACCCTTGTCTGAAATGGTAGTCAGGAGAAGTTAATGTGTTTGTGGCCCATTGAGGAAAGGATTTCTAGCAGAGACATGAGGCACAGCTCACACGCAAAACTCACGACTAATGAAGGAAAAAAGAATATGAAGATTAAAGAAGCTGTTTAAAAATAACTAGATAAAGAAAAATATGTTTCCATGATAGACTCTAAGCGTGTTGTTAAAGATTAGTCTTTATGAGTCATGAAATCGCTGTCTATTGAATCTAGAGGGAAAAGCACACTTCAAAATAATAGATATTTAATGCAACGTCCGTTGAAGCATTTTAGATCTTCCCCTGATACGTTGTTACCAGAGGATTGTCTTGTAAGGCTGTTAGGATACTTTACATTGCTGCCTTTGTGTCTTTGCAGTGTTGTACAGCTGTAGTTGTTGTCTGTTGTTGCAATGCTACTGCACTGTGCTTGCTTTTATTTCCTTAGGGTCTGAGGTTATGTGGACAGTTTTGCTCAGGGTCTGTGAGACGAGCTTGGTCAATGTAGATGCTACTTTCAAAAAGGTCATGATGCTTTGGTTTCGGGCAGTCTGTTAACTCTGAACGGAGAATTTTGCAAACAGTGCTGTCCATTCTGGTAAACAAGTAACAGATTTCCATGTGGAGGTTCACATAGTGTTCTCACTTGGTAAAAGGTTCATTTGTGAAACAACTGGTTTGTGATCATTTGAGACCGTGCTGGGTTTCTCGATGTCGCCTCAAATCCACCTTTCTCTGGAAACCTTTACCACAGAGGTCACAGCCAAAAGGTTTGAACCCTGTGTGCTTCCGACTGTGAGTGATGAGATTGGAACTCTGACTGAAGGCCTTCCCACATACCTGGCATTTGTGTGGTTTTTCTCCTGCAAAGAGAGAGGAGACAATTTTAAGTTTCTTGTATGCAATTACAAATATATATATACACACGGCATAACAATTATGTGATTTAATAATTATTCAAAATTATTAAATGCGTTCATTGACTTGTCTCTTAGACATCACACAGACCAGAAGTAGCCAATTGGTAGATACATGGCTGGTATAGAACTACAACTATATATTCCACTATTCCACCATAAATCTGACATGGCATCATAGTAGTTATAGTCCTACAACAGAAGTAGTGAGCTATTTACTTTCACGATATATGGACAGATAATCCAAAATTAATTCTCAATTATTTAGGCAAAATGAAAGACAACAGACAGTTTACGTAATCATGCAAAATCAGCTTTTTACACTCTGATACTTTATAAAAAATATGAAGATTTGAGCATTCGCTGCAAGGAAAACATGCTATAACTTACAGGTCTAGCATCAGACCCCTGTGGCAGTGAAAGGGTTAGTGCTCAGTCCCCCATTGTATGTTGTATATTCATTTCAATAATGCAGCAGATTGATGAGGGGGAGGGAGGGGTGTGGGGTACTCGCTGCATCTGTCAGCCGTGCTCACCTGTCATTTCCGAGGCTTTTCAAATCATGTCCAAATCAACACAATAGTGTGCAAATCATCTTATAGAAAAGCCCTTCTGAGCAAACATGGGGAGGATCATATTAGAGCAACAGTGATTGGATTGCTAGGATTCAGCTAATGAACAGATGCTGCTAATGAAGGCAAACCTCTTTCTGCGCGTATTGTTTGTTCATGGGGAGTTTAATACAGTGGTGATGGACCGGAGGTCATGACATTGATAGGACGGTGAATAAAGCAGGATGGGCTTTAATAAATGTTATGAACTGACAATGCTGCTGCAAATCGCTGTCTGAGACAAGAAGAGCTCATGTATCCAGTGTTTGTGTGTGTGTGGGTGTGTATATGTGTATCACTGTTTTAATGGTCACACTATAAGCTCATTTGGGCAGGACCTTCTTCACCTACTGCTCCAGTCTGTCAATCATGTTTTTTTGTAGGATGTAGTGTCTGTTTTGTTTACGTATTGCACAGCACTGCAGAATATGTTGGCGCTATATACACTATTGTATATGTAAAGGTGCATGCTGCAGTGTATCAATGGTTTTAGTATGCACCCATGATATATAGTTTACATACTGCAACTATCCACAGGAAGAACTGAAACATGTTCGTCTTTCTGACTATTAAGCTTCGCCCCCACAGATGTATCTGCAGAATGTTGCTCATTTTGCTGTTCGAGTATTATAGTCCAAAAAGAGAGTTAATCTGCAGGAATGTGTCTTTGGTCTCCATGGTAACTGCTCCACTGTTCTATCATTGTACTAGTCTCTAAACTCTCAGTAATCACAATAAATAAACACTACGACTACTGCACCCTGCCCTCAAACAGAATAGTTTGACAACTTACTTGGGGTCTGCCAGGCATCTATCACCAAGTCTGCGGAACCAGAAGATCATACAGGGCTGCTTGCTCAATGACTGAGGGTGTCAGCCAATGAGTATGGCCCTGCCATTCCTAAACTGCTAGGGCACTCCTAGAACCATAACTACTACAGTGCCACTTGTATGGCACTTATAAGGTTACATGGCACTTGGAATTTTTCTCTAACCTCAGAGTGAAGTACAGTTTTTAAAAGCAGTTTTCACTGTAAATCGTTTTTTGTTCTTTTAGAAAGAGAATACTATAATGCGCAAGGTAAGTTGGCTGCCATTGATTACAGGAGAGCACACGCAACACTGACCTGTGTGTATGAACGTGTGTTTTTTCATATCTGATTTCTGGTGGAACCTTTTTCCACAGTACTGACAAGGATAGGGCCTGGTGTCCGAGTGGATAAGTAGGTGTGTGGAGAGTGTGGACGACCTTTTAAAGCTTTTGCCGCAGATTTTACAATCAAAACTTCTTTCCTGTGGAAAAAAAAGGAAAAAAAGAAATTATAACAAAAACTACTACCAACAGAAGTAACAAAATGTGTCCTTGTTGATCCTTAATTTACATAATACATGTATACAACAACCCCTAAATGTCTGCCATGGCTGGTATTAGTATTATTACACACTGTTGCACTGGTTTAGCAGTTTAGCTATAACATCTATTATGTATCGATATCCCATCTGTTACAATCTCTTAAAAGTAGTCCGTCATAGAGAAAGGTTAATAATGGGTCTATTCATCAAACCGCAAACTGTGGAGACTTGTCAATCCAAAAATTCTATTTAGATAAAAATAGCAGAATTGTAAAAAAAAAAAAAAAGCTACCAAATGGACAGAAACCCTGCTCTCCGTGGGAAATGCTGGGCTGTGGACCAAAACATAATTTTCTTCATGGAACCAAGAAGAAGATGGGTTACGTGCCATACCGCAGTGTTCTATTACCTGAGAATGGACCGCTTTATGTTGCTCCAAGCTGACCGCATGACCAAATGTTTTCCCGCACATTTCACACGCAAAGGGCCTTGTTCCACTATGGGATCTGCGCACATGAACTTCCAGTCCGTGGGGAGTAGAAAAGACCTGGACAAACGGAGAATAATGATGTCAGCCAAATGTACTGGAAGTGGGTCAGGTACTGTCTCTCTCCTACTCATACTGAATGCTTATCTTCGTCATATATATGGTAATAAATAATAAAATACTCCTAAAAAAAGCTTGTATAATATTGTGTCGTTTTTTTTATCGTGAATATAGTGTGTTAATGTCCTTAAATGCATGCAAATATTTTTTATTTTTTTTAAGAATTAATTTTAAGCTTTTCCAGTCATCAAATAAACGTACAGATGTTATTATCATATGTTGTTTAGATATCAGAAATATACACTGGGTCATATAATGAATCATTGCACTGAAACTGGATCCCAGTGGGTTTATCCACTACAAAGTCAGATGCACTGAACTGACAATTTAAATACAACATTTTAGGCCAAAACCTCTGGGTAAAACCTTATTGCAGGGATGAAGATTTCTTTTTGAATCATCTATAAATACAGTTTCCAATAGCACTTTCCCATCAATTTACATTTCAAGAAATAAATCCCATTGCATTCTAAACACAAGATTTTCTCATCCAACCCATTATTGGTTCTTAAGGGCTGTACTTTATCCCTTGATGACCTGTAATGTTGTAGATTTTTTTTCAGGATTGAAATTGTTTACCTTATTAAATGGACACTATAGTCACCTGAACAACTTTAGCTTTATGAAGCAGTTTTGGTGTATAGAACATGCCCCTGCAGCCTCACTGCTCAATCCTCTGCCATTTAGGAGTTAAATCCCTTTGTTTATGAACCCTAGTCACACCTCCCTGCATGTGACTTGCACAGCCTTCCATAAACACTTCCTGTAAAGAGAGCCCTATTTAGGCTTTCTTTATTGCAAGTTCTGTTTAATTAAGATTTTCTTATCCCCTGCTATGTTAATAGCTTGCTAGACCCTGCAAGAGCCTCCTGTATGTGATTAAAGTTCAATTTAGAGATTGAGATACAATTATTTAAGGTAAATTACATCTGTTTGAAAGTGAAACCAGTTTTTTTTTCATGCAGGCTATGTCAATCATAGCCAGGGGGGGTGGGGCTAGGGCTGCATAAACAGAAACAAAGTGATTTAACTCCTAAATGGCAGAGAAATGAGCAGTGAAATTGCAGGGGAATGATCTATACACTAAAACTGCTTTATTTAGCTAAAGTAATTTAGGTGACTATAGTGTTCCTTTAACTTTTCATTATGCTAAAAAAGAAAAACGTGACTTAACAATCAAAAGTGTTTAGTATCAAATGACATTAACATACAGTCAGCCCATGCAACTATATATACAATTCTAGTATATTAGTAAACATGCTGTCTTAAGTTAAGGCGACAGAGTTTATATAACATGTGAACATTCATAAGCCGATTACCTTGCTGCATTTGAGACATTTGTAAGAGCCATTGTTAAGCAAAAGGCGAGTGCACAGAAGATCCGATTCCATCTTGATGCTCTGAGCCTTGTCCCCGTAGAGTCCAGGGGCCACCCTGGACTCCCCAAAACGCCCCACGCTTTGTCCAAAGTCCCCATACAATCTGTCTGTGCTATAGAGGGGCGGAGGAAGAGCAGGTGGCTCCCGCTCACCATAGATATTTAGAGCCGAACTCCTGTCCAGTCCGGCCGGCCTGCAGTTCTGCACCAGCTGTCGGAGTTCAGAGTTTGCCAAACCATTCCACGTGAAGGGCTTGAAAGGTAGCGGATATGGTGGAGACTCGTCCAGAGAAGGGCAGGCCGACCTCTCAGAAGCTGTAGAACACATGGACAAAAAAAAGTTACATCACACTGTCATATACAATATATTATCTTATAATAGAAGGGATACTTTGAGTCATAACAACTCCAGCAGTTTTATCCACTAAAGAGTGAATTGATAGGAATTCAAAGGGAATTTGAAAATGAATTTCAAATTTGAGGCCAAAGTAGCTGAATTGATTTTTTTTTTTTTTAAAAGTAAGCTATGTTTTTAAATCTAAAATAAAAATGGTCAGAGGGCTGGCACAATAAGTAAAAAACCATCTCAGGAAACAGTATCTTGCTTGCGAGACTTCGCCTTTGTCCTGCCACAAACAACACCAGACAGTGGCCAGCATCTCTAAAGAAGAATGATGTCTCAATCAGCATTTAAATTGATAAAATAGGTGCTTTTTTATCATTTAAAACGTGACCTAATACCTTTCAAACTAAATCATTGACTATTTTTACTATCCCGGTTGCTTCAGGGCTTTCCTTCCCAGGTTAAAAGAGGCTTTTTATTAATGTAACTTTAACCCCTTAAGGACACATGACATGTGTGACATGTCATGATTCCCTTTTATTCCAGAAGTTTGGTCCTTAAGGGGTTAAAGGCCTGGAGGGCTCTGGTTGAGGCCTAGCTCGGGGACTCTGCATCCCTCTCTGTGAAATGATTGTTAAGATTAAGAATGATCTAATAAATAAACCAACCGCTACAGTTCACAGCACCATCTACTATGTATGAAATATGGGATTCTTGGCAGGAGTACATCTCTATTGTATAGTGTTTTTTGGGGGTTATCACAGTGTTCCCCACCCCTCTTTTCTTTCTTTTCCTCTATATCATATATTATTTCTCTCCCTTTCAATTGGTTTTTTAACTATCTTTGTGAAAAATTGAAAAGCTGAGACTGGTTTTATTTTATAGTAGTTGCTCACATTATTCTGTATCATACAAAGAATTTGTATTTATTTTAAATGTGGCATTATTCATCATGGGTGAAAACTCTCTTGCCGAGACAACACTTACTCAAAGTTTCTAAAGGAAGTCTCACCTTGTCCAGTCCTCCCCCATGTTGAATTATACACGGTTTTAAATGATCATAAAAAGCACATATTGAATTAATTTTATTCGCTGATTGAGACTTCGTCTTTCACTTTGATTGAAGCTGGCCGCTGTCTGCCTTTGCTTTCATATTTGCCTTAAATTTGAAATTCACTTTGAATTCTTTTTTAATCCCCATCAATTCACACTTTTAATCTGACTCAAAATGTTTAACACATTTGTCACAGCAGTTTACATTAAAATTAAGAAGTGACCGATGTTCATAAAAACACTTGCAAAATCAGATGAGTCTTGAGTTTCTTTCTAAATATTTCCACAGAAAAGGCTTTTAGACTGTCAGGTTAAGAGTTATATTTGGTTGGAGCCATTTGAAAAAAGGTTTTAGAACCAAATGTTGCTAAATTGATCTTTGCCTAGTTCATATGTTGTTTGATTTGGTGCTAGAACTCCATTTTCACTTGATTTTTTTGGGAAAACGAATACCTTTATTGAAATATTAGTGCACACTTTGTTTTTTGTTTTTTACTAATGACAATAAAATCTTATTAACTTAAAGGAAACCTCTGCTATCCTTCAAGAGCAGGAAACCTCATAACTGCATGGGGTATAGAAATGATGTTGAAGATGATTCAGGGACATGTAGTGCCCACTCTTGTGGAACAAAATATTAACATTCACAACTTTTTCATTATAATTTGAATACGGTTATTCCACTCTGTCATATTTATTGTCATGATCCGCCATTCACATTGTTTTAGTCAATATTCCAGCAGAGTTTTTCCAAGTTTCAGTGGACACATTTTGGAGAACTTTTTGTGGCATTTTTGGTCTAAAATGTGTAATCCAATTTTAATTCCTAAGAATTCACACTTTAGTGAGAACCTGTAAATGCAATTTATACCTGAATACATCAGGATGAACACCTTAAGACCTCAGAAGGACTCGGTCTCAAAAGGCCAGCATGACGATCAATTTCCATCATGTGTCCTTAAGGGGTTACACTACACCTGCTCATTATCAGAGTCTTTCCCTTCCCCCACAATTTACTTGGCAAGGCATGGTGTGACTTTAAATACTGGAGTATAGGTATTGACTATCCATGTAGATATATGTATAGGGTTATTCAGTAAAGTGAGGATTGGAAGTAAATTTCAAATTGTATGCCAAAGTAGTCAAACTGGATATTAAGTTGAATTTTTCAGGTTTTTTCTTATTTTGGCTTTAAATTTGAAATTCACTTTGAACTCATCTAAAATTCCTAACTATTCTCATTTTATTTTTTTTCAGCTTTATATTACTATCTTCTAGTAATAATCCAACACATGATTGCACCTTCCAGTGGCAGCAATCTCTAATCATACGAACACACAAAGCTGATCTGGCATGACATCACAAGTAGGCAATCAAATAAATTAGTGTATATTATTTCTGACCTCATCCAATAACAGTGACTATCACACAGTACCATGCAAATACAATAGACGCCGGAGAAATAATATCTGCAAAAATCAAATAAATAGTAGCTATTCATGTGAAACTCAAATTCTTTTATATGTCACTTTTGTACATATATGTACCTAATTTTAATATACGTCTGACCCTTTGTACTGTACATTTGGGATTTATTAGTACGCAATAATATTTAACCTCAATAAATTATTGATTGACAAAAAAATTATAGAATCTTAAAGACATTTAATTTTATAATTTTCCCAATAAAAAAATAAATCTAAAAACTTTAAAGTGTAATTTTCTTTTTTCTGTAACAACAAATTATTTAATTCTTTGAGTTCCCTTCGTTTGTATCACTTGGCTCAGTATCATTGTTTTGGGTGAGATATCTATCTATCTATCTATCTATATTTTTTTTCCTGTACATGGGTCACAATAGTACAGTACTAATTGATCAATTATATTAATGTAAGATTTGAGTCATAAAGCTATATTCTTTAGTGTTGTATTTAAATCTAAAAGTGTTATATGCAGCAAAGGATGTGTGACAGCACTTATAACACCTAGAGGGAATTACAAAGTATTGAGGTGAAAAGTTTAAGGTTTCAGTTAAGTTATAAAAAAAACCTCCTATGTTATTCTAAGGAATAATATGTGTATAGTTTCTATAGATTTGTATGTGCATGTAGTTTTGTTTTCAGAACATGTTATTTCCTTAAAAAGTAACTCTTTTTAATTGATTTTTATTAGTTATTTTTCTAAGCTTGTTTTATTTATGTTTTTAGTTATTAAAATGATATAAGGCAGTGAGGATTAAAATGTGCTCTACCATTTTATTTTATTTTGGGTGTCAATTATTAAGCATTGAGGGTTTTTTATAGGACTGAAAAAAGGGGGCTTTTTCTTTTTTTATTCGGTGGTACAAATTAGCTAAAGTTGGTTTTCTCTGAATTTCACAAGACTCTATTAGAATGGCATTAAAATCATTTAAATTGGTGACCCACTGAAATCAGTCAACTTTGTCCCCAACTGCAGTAGACACAGTGTTAAAACTGGATTGTGATTACAGGAATTACATTCTGAACAATTTCTCAACAGTCTATATAGACACCCAAACCTAGATCCGATTAATAACTGCCCATATTGCCTCATCTACAATTGACCACTAGGGGTCAGTGTTTTCCCGGTCCTCTGGGGCGGTAATAGCTAGTTCACTAGCACAGCTACAATCGAAACAGGAGGTAACAGCACATCCCATTACTATATGAAAGCGCCTGAGCCATTTATCAAAAGGTATCACTGCATATAATACAAGCTTTTTACATGCTCTTTTCTTTTATCATCACCTGTACATTGCATTATGAAACAGACCTGATATCAAATCATTACACATCGCTTTCAGAATTAAATACAGGTAGATTTACTGTTGAAAAATGTTTTACTATTTCCTAAAGTCATCTTGGGGGCTCAGTTGTTGATTAAGCCTCAAAATAAATCATTTGCCTTTGGCACACCTGTGAGAAATGATCAGGTGAGTGTGTTTTATTATATATATATTTAAAAAAATTGTGATTTATACAGCGCTGCGGAATATGTTGGCGCTTTATAAAATACTACTACTAAAATAAGTGATAAGAATAGAAATTAAAGAGTTTTTTTGTGTGCTTTTTGATGGTGTACTGCTTGCCTTCTCGTAGATCATTACTGATTGTCATTTAACCCTCTGACTGCCATCCTATGGCACTGAAAAGGTTAAACAGGGCATGTCACATTTGCTTCCTTCAATCAGCACGGACACAAGGTTGAGAGAATAAATCAGAAAATGATCTTCCACCGTTTAGATTGAGTAGCAATAAAATAAAAACTGCTTAATCTCGATTTAAAAATAATTCATTACGATTACTACGTGTATTAACAAATACATTATTTCGGTGTCATTTAAAAAATATTTAGAAATTCAAGACTACACTGAGAAATTCTATATTCTTATTTTTTTAAAAACCGTATCTAATAATAATAATAATGGATTCGAAATAAATATTCTGGCTATAGTTAGTTAAATACACATGGCAGGTCTTCAATCACAGATTATGGAAACTGTAATATTTTTACAAAGTGTATTTGAAAAGATTTAGTTTGTCTGTTTTGTTCCTAAAATGATAAGTTAATAAAGCTGAAAGCTGCCTGTGCAAACCCTGCCCCAGGAATGTTATTAAATATCTATACGGTTTCATGTAACCCTTTGCATTCAATAGTGCTCTCCAATGGGTTTATACCCCAAAGGGTTAAATTCGATTCCTTTATCGTTTCTTCCAAACACAGATCTTGCTAGAGATGGGCTGCAACTATGATTACAATGAAACTATTTCGATTAACTGTCCTTACATGAACGATCATTGTATCTGTTTATAAATCTGTGTTATTGTTTACTACCAACCGAATAAGATAATAACACAGTGATAGTGGGTAAGGTCTATTTACAGTGGATTCGTTAATACATATGTTATAAATTCATTCTGCATTAACGTAAACATTTTAAATAAGGCTCTGTACCTACTGCTATATTATATGGCAATATTCCCATTGCCCTCTTCAGGAATCGGATAGTCTGACATTTATCGAAACCATACAGAAACACTTAATTCAGGTACTATGCATAGATCGTACATATTAAAATAGCCAAATACAGAGAAAATGAATGTGGGGTTAATTTACAGAATTAAGGGCAAAGTAGAAAAAACATTTCAACTAAACTATTAAAAAATAATATTGCCATTCTGTTGTCAATTCAGTCTTATTTCCAGTGTTACTGAATAAATCCCAATCTGTGCTGGATTAGATCTAATTCAGACTATGAATAAATCAAGATATTTCAGCAGCAGCAGAGACTGATCTTCCAATGTACAATGGTTTACCTGGTAAAGTCAATGTTTATAGAATCGAGTTGTAGCTGTTTTGTTGCATTATTGTAACATCTGTTAGAACACAATAGGATTTGTGTGTGTGTGGAATAGAAGGGCTGGGTATCCTAAGGGTAACCTGCCACGAATTCTGATTCAATATTAGCAGAACATCTGAGAGTGGAAACTTTGTATGGACAAAATATTATAGGCACAGCTGGGGAATATAAAGCCAGCCTATTTTATAATCCCACTTATCAGTCTATATTTATTGTGTGAGCATATAACCAGGACAGCTGGCCAGTGCTATATAGTCCTGCTATTTACCTTATGACATGTAGCAATGGGGCGATGGGACGTTGTAGAACAGGGGTGTCTAATCTTAGCATTCCAGATGTTTTTGAACCACTTAAATCTTCAAGTATGGATAAGGATCATGGGACTTTAAGTTAAGAATCATCTAGGAGACCTATAGGTAGCTGCTACAAGTATAGATCAAGTTTTCAGTTCCATTGAAAGGATGTTTTATTACCTGGTGATACTGAGGGAGAAGGGGGTCTCCAGAAATCTTCATACTCAGAGGCTGTGGTATCACACACACTACCCTCACAGCTTGGGGGGGAGTCTGAGGACACATCAGTGACATCTTCAAGGTTGGAGGACACAGGGGAGAAGTTACCTTGGACCTCAGGAAGGACCTTGGTCTCTGTTAAAAGTACATTGCATGAAATACAACATAAGCCAAACATTACAGACCAACAAAATGCAAGCAATCACATCAATGGAATTAACCCCTTAAGGACCAAACTTCTGGAATAAAAGGGAATCATGACATGTCACACATGTCATGTGTCCTTAAGGGGTTAAAGGAAAATGTATCAAATTCAATTCTTCATAAAACTTGCATACTGCTACAATAAGCCATGCTATACAATATATAATAACAACAATAGTACACATAATCCTATTAATTATCAAGAGGGTATGCATGGCATTAAATAAAATGAACATCACTCAAATCAAAGGGTTCAAACATCTGCAACTAGACTGCGATTTCCCCCCAAATGGGTATTTAGGGAGGATAGAGAGATAGTGAGAGAGATAGATACACAGGCAATCATACACGTGTGATTTATGCATACTGGATGTGTATATATGAAATATAAGTATTTAAGAGGTTTATTTTTTCGTATCGGTTTGGTACAATTATTAATAATTATGAGAATATGAATATATATAATGGCAGTTTCGTTCATATTCTGGTCTCCTTGAAATTCGAGGGAGCAGTGAAACAGACAGGAGACTTGTATGACAAACCAGATGTGGTCATGTGACACGATCGCTATTACTGTACATTGCATTTAATTATTACAGATCATATGAGTCAAGATTTATAGAAAAATATAAATTACTATGTTTTGGGTTTTTTACATAATTTTTCCCGTGTTTACATTTTTTTTTTTTAAAGCCACAATAAAAGTGCATATAGTATCATCAATCGTAGTTATTATAGAAATCGCAATGTTTAAACTCTGCAAAAATTCGATTGTTTACATTTGTAGCCAAAACATTCGATTCGTTAAACATTCGATCTAACAATTTCTACATTAAAGATATAATGTATCTTGCCTAAAAATAATTCTACTGGGAAATAGAAATGTATGTAACATTATCTGCATTTGCTAATCTCCATTGATTTATTTGAGACAGATAATAAAAAAAAAACAAAAAAAAAACAAAAAACAGGAAAATAGAAATGTGGAATAATTTGCATTGAATTGCTTCATCCCTGGCCAGTGTTTCCCCAACTATACAATACAATTTGTCATTGCATAAAATGCAGCCAGGTTGTAGTTTAGTAAGATCAGTGCATATAAAGGTATTAATAAACCATCACATATATCTATTTAATAGCATGCATGGGATAAATTTAAAGGGTCACACAGCTTTATTTCGTTTTGGGGTGTTACATAAAATATAACATTTATGTTATCTGCATTATAATTAAGGACCTTTGAATCCATACTGAACATAGATTCACTGTATGGAGAAAGCCTCAAATACAGGGTAGTGGTGGATGACAGCCTGTGTAAAAGGGGTACAGGTAAAGAATTATTTAATATGGAACACTGCAGTGATTACAATGTGTCCTGTACAGATTGATGGCCCATATGGACTGCACTGATACTGTGTCCAGCGGTCCCTGACAGCTCATACCTGCACATATATGAGCCAAGATGATCTCCTGTCTCAGAGTGTAGTCATCCTCTGTGGATCTGGGCTGGTGGTAGCTGTGAGCCTTCTTGCTCTTCACTAGAAAGGATCTGGGCATAGCTGCTGGCTGTGTCTTCTTCTGCCTTTACCAAGGATCTTCCAGACACACCACACCAAGAGCTTCCACTGTGTCTTCAGAGTCCTAAATCTTGGTTGCAATCTGGCAAGAGATTTAACATCCATTGGTTAGGAACCTTTAGGATGGAGGGAGGGATTTTGGGCGGTGACACCTTAGAGTAGAGGGGAGGGTGCAGGGAAGGGGGCTGGATTCTTTAGAAAGAATATAGGAGCTCCATTGACCAGGTGGCATTAGAACAGGTGGCAACATAGTGACACGTTCCTGTGTTCCTAACTCCCAGACACCAGCCTTGCAGAGTTAGAAAGGGGAGGGGGATTAAGATTGCTTCGCAGCCCACCTGGGAAACTGAACCCTCCAAAGAAGCTGAGAATGAGTGACATTGTCATTTGAATTTCCATGTGTTACCAAACCCTGTTACTCAATCCCCCCCTATCTTTCATCAGGAGGCTGGGCTGGAGACACATGGTTCAGTAGGCTCTTGAGCAAGACCCTAAGCCCAGCGCAGGCAGAAGAACAAACAAGATAAACCCCCTTATGCAAGGCAAGTGTGTGCTCTGAGAGGTGTAGCAATGTCCTAACGACTTCCTAAGAAGATCATATCGGATTAACCCCTCAGCTGCCTGCTTGGCCATCCATGCCCTGATTTACCAGGCACCAGTATTAAAACCAATGAAATAATGCATTAAGACATACATCTTATTTAAATTAAAGAATACATTCAGATTATTATTGCAAATATGCTCTTAATAATACTACTACTACTACTAATAATAATGATAATAAAATTCATTATTATATTCACAATAATACTACTAATAATGTTTATTATTATTATATTCATGATAATACTACTACTAATGATAAGATTCATTATTATGTTCATGATAATACTACTGATGATAATGATTATCGTTACAATAATAATAATACTAATCATTTATTATTATTATTATTTTATTTTATTCTACTTTTTATTTTATTTTTAATTTCTTCTTCTGGTCACACAGTTAATATGAACTTTCCCTCCCCTATTCTTATTTTCTAGCTAGTTGTAAAGAAATAGAGATAATGTAGAGAGATATTATTTTATTATGTGAAATACAAGGTAGAGGGAGCAGGCCCAGCATTTACTGTTTGGCTATGGTCTGATGTGCTCTGTAAAGGAGCTGTGTTTAGCCACATCCTGATAGCTGAGTTCTGGATGTACATTACAGTGAGGGCCAGAGGGCCATGGAGAGTTGATGAAGCAGATCATAAGGGAAATGGGATCCTTGGCTTGCTGTCTGTCTCTGTTGGACAGGGAGAATGAGGGAGCCAGCCTGCAGATACAAGTCTTGTTATCTGATTATCACTGGGAGAGATCACTAGAATTTACAGTGCCAGCACACTATCACAATCACTCAGCTGCAAAACTGGGACAAAAATGCATGCTCCAGATTTAATTATCACATATAGCATTGCACGATAGGCAATCACACTGCTCAACAGCAGGCACATTCTGATAAGCTCTAATCAGGAGCTTCGTGGATAGGAATTGAGTGAACGTGCCAATATTTGTCCTGGACAGATCATAACTACACAGCCAGTTAGCAGTAGGGCTGGCTGGGGATGATAGGAGTTTATTGCCACACAAACTGGGCAGCCTATCACTAAGTGGCTTGAATCAAAGAGTTTAAACCTCTCCAGACCTGCAGGCAACCAGACAGGTTTAAAAATCTGATCCTTTTGTCTCCACTGGTTACTTTGAGTCTAAAGCTGCTGCAGAACCTCTTTGGGTCGCATTGAATGACAGATGTGCTCCACCAAGGGGCAGGAACCTACATTTTATCTCTGTGATTGACAATTTATACATCATCGAAAACACAAGGTTTTGTTGTTTTGTTTTTTTTAATCCAGAAAGCAAAAAGTCTGATGCTCACCCAAACCCAATTAACATTTATATCACACTAAAACCGCCGAGAAACCACTACCTTTGTTCTATGTAGTCAGACTATGAAATTGCCCTGAGTGCAACTCAAAAGGAAACCATATATTATAGCAAAATGCACATATCACTGTGTCACATAACATAACTGCAAGCTCTGTTGTTTCAAATTGACTGATAGTAAAAATGTCACTCACAAGGGGGAATGTGACATAGATCTGAAGTGTAAGTGATAATCTGTAAAATATTATAATGTGTAGAAACAGTGAACAGACAGTGTTCTATAGATACCTGAGAGCACACAGATACTGACATGGATAGGGGTTTACTAACTAAACAGCTAAAAGGGGGATTGCAACATGTTGGCCAAACCATACAAAACCTAACAGGGGGCGGTCCAATCACTAAAGTGAGTGAGTGGGTTTAATCAAAGCTGCTCAGTTCGAAATGAAAAATAACCAGTTTAGCTGAATGGCATCATTATTCCATCTAAGCTAAATATCCATACATCTTGAAATGTCATTTTATTAGACATTCTAATGTTTAGCAAATAATCTTCCAAATCGAACCCAAATGCAGTTTGGATCTTTTTTTTTTTTAACCAAAAAAAAAAAAAAAAATTCAAATTATTTTATTAGTCTTTAAAAAAAGACAAACAGATAAATTCCATATTGATTACAGAATGCGTGTGTGTAGTTTAGATGTGTTGATTAATTAATTAATTTTCTTTGCTTTTTTTATTCATCCGAAAAGTTATTTGACTGGAATCCAACACCGATAGCATAATATATAGGATATATATATATATATATGGTTCTATGAACAATAAATGGCACAATCTCACTGTACATGTAAATAAAAACGAAATAGGTCAGTTATTGAATGAAAATAAAAATACAATATGGGCCACATACAGTTTTCTGTTTTGTTCGTTTTTTTTTTAAATAAGGACCATAAATACGCACAGGCGAATTATTAAACACCTACAGGCATTAGTAATATCGTGGGGTAAAAAACTGCCTCTGTTTTGCCCCAACCAATAAAGTCCTGGTATTTTGACTGGGTATTGGGTATATAGGGTTGGGAACCCAAGTGATCATTGTTGAGAAATCAAAGTAAATTTCAATTTCAAATTTAGGGACAAAATAACCAAATTAGAAAAATTCTCCCAGTCAGCTGTGCTCCTAGATCGTCTACTTTGGTCTTAAATGTGAAATTCGCTTAGACTTCCCGACAAATCTCTCTAGGATATAGCCCTATAACCACACATAATTATAGTTAGTCCACCCATTGTACAGTGCTACGGCATCTGATGGCGTTATATAAATAATAAAATAATATGTGTACACTGTGTAAAGATAATTTCGAAGGCCTATATGTTCTGATATTTATTTACTACCCACAAACACATGGTCTATGTGTGCTGAGCCTGTACTGACCAGTATGCCTGGCTGACTTGTTTCTGTCTGTCCCTATACACTAGGTCTGATAGGGCATATCTGAGATATTCAGGTTACACAATATAATCTATTTATTGCTCTATCCACACTCCAGACCTAGAGAAGGGGTTATTTATATGGTTTCCATGGTGATTATACTCTATTAGAATGTTGCCCCAGAAGCTGGATAGGCTACACTCAGAGTACATGGGAGACTGATCACTCCAATCCACCTGCTGATTTTTTTTATCCTTGAGAATAGAGGCTGCTAGTGAAATCAGAGTCCTGAGATAAGCATGCTGCTCACACTATTCCCATTCATGCCCTGTCTGATTCTGTTTGCTGTTTCCTAACTCAGGATACAGTATCAAGAGACTTATTAAATAAACAGAGAATTGTGTTAAACTCTCACCCCAATTGTAGCATTAAGGCAAAGAGCAGAACTGCCAATACTCTCCAAGGCAAATGTTTTCAACTTGGCTCTTGTGGATTAAATGTCTTAATTTGCAATTTAATTCAACCCAGCCTATTTAGTGAATACATTCGGCAGTATTAAAATCATTGAAGTGCTGCCTGGCTTACTATTATATGACGATGCCTGGCTTAGTGTGATGGGAGTTGTATTCACAATTTGTAGGTTTATTTACTAAACCAGATTTGGCTGGAATTAAATTCACCAGAAAGTTTGAAATAAAAGCCCCAAATAACTAAGCTGCAAACATAGCCAATGTATAATTTCCTGGTGAATTAGCAGAAATTCACAATTCAGTAAATAACACTGTAGATGTTTAACCACTAAACAGTGATGGGTTTGTTCAACAAACACAATTATATTGAACTGAATGCAAATGGCAAGGTTTAGGTAAAAAAAATGTTTTTCTTTGGAAAACATTATACAGTGTACCTATTATCACAGTCTGAGTATTTCAGATTCAATTTTTCACTGTGGTTCTTCATTACTTGCAATGTGTTGTTTTTATTGAGAAATTAGAACTGTACATTTAAATCACTAAGCAGCGAGTTTTGGAAAGTTGACAAATGAGTTGCAAAATGTAAGCTGAAATATCAGCAATCGATAAAATATTTAAATCAGTCTAAACTGGAGGCTTTTTTTTGGTACTATTTTGGCATAAATTGAACCTTTAAATGTCATCCAGGTGCACAAAAATATTTCTGGCACTCAAAGCCCTATGTTTCCCATTTAACGGTGACAGTGGACTAACACGTTTTACTGCCCTGTCTGTAGATAAAATAAAAAGAGTATACTTTGTAAATTAATACAAAATAAATAATTTAGAATCAGAGTTTTAAACTGTGCAAGGACAGGGCCTGAACAATTATTAATATTATCAATAAATTAATATTAATTAATTAGAATCCCCAGCTACAATCTTCTAACTTATTTTGAACACTCTGCAATATAAATAATTTAAAACCACTGTTTGACTTAATCTCAACTCTGTTTATACCCAAGTGGAAATCTTTATTCAGTCAGCCTAATGTCAAGGTTACTTCTTACGATAATACTGGAAGTTAATGTGGGAAATGTATAGGTCATGCCATCTGGCTTAGCTCAGGACCCAGCCAAAAGCACCATATGGCAGACTTAGCAAGCA